GGACATACACAGCTGAAAATTGTCAGCAAAAATTGACAATTGACCTGGCCTAGTGGGGTAAAATATTAGCCTTAGAGGCATAAAACTGACCGAGAATCGCCCGATTTTGCTTAGACCAATCCGCTGGATTTTCCGTGCGGCTCTATGTTTCTAAGTTTCGTAACAGCAGCGGTTCACATCTACTGCACCCCCATCATCAAGAAAGCCGGCGAATCAGGGCAAACGTTAAACGTCACTCTACGAAGGGCACCTGGATACTCTGCTTGGATTTAAAATACCAAAACTTGCAAATATATAAGTCAACCCATGACAACTGCTTGCACGGCTTAATGGTAAACGGCCATATGATCGGAGTCATTTCCAGCCCGGAGCGTTTGTTCCAGGTTACGATGTTGAGAAGACGTAGCACCTAATCTAACACTGTTAATAGCCGACTAGCCAATTGAGCAATCGCACCACCGATGTCATGGACGGACAACAACTCCCCGCACGCTGAGAACCATTTTTAATAATGGAGGTTGTTAACTTACATGACATTAGTTTGCAAGCGGTGTAACATTTAACCAAGTCGCCCATGTCGGGTTTGCGACACTGAAGCTGTCGTTGCGTCCAAGCTTAGTCCTGTGACCCTATTGCTCCCTGAAAGCCAATCAGCTGAAAAACAGTATCTGATCAGTTACATAAAACCGCCAGGAGCCGACCTGCCTAGCCAGCCGGCACGCTGACCGGAGCTTCTGCGCCAGAGTAAGCGCAAAGCCCTCCCTCCCCACCGGCGAGATCGCCGCGGTCGACCGGTCAGCGGGACCTCCGTAATTGCCGGGGAAGCTCTAAACGCGACCAATGATCAACCAACCATCCAAATGTAAACTGAGCACTCACCCCATGCCTTCAAGGCACAAACTGCCGACAGGGAACACAAAGTGCCTCAAGTTGCCAGGACCGCTAATCAGAGAAGCTTTCCCACGAGCTGGTACAGCTCCCCACACTTTGACGTCAAGTTCGGTGAGCTCGGTGTCAGGGATCCAGCGCAAGCGCGTAGCCAGGGGTACCTTATAAGGCCCACATTTTCCTGCTTCGCCATAAATGGCTCCAGACGGAAAAATAAAAATGTGTGATGCGTTTAAAACGATACCCGACACCACCACTCCAACCCCGCACGAAAACCCTGACTGTGCCCCTGATTCATCGTATTTCAGACCTGCAGCGATCGTCAGCGTGCTCTGCGTCAGTGCTCATGCGTGGTCGCCGGGTGGATGCTGCCTTGTTCTGCTCACGTGGCGAGTGATCTGATAACGCCATGAGATATCGGGTCGTCGAAGGGCGGAGGCGAGGTAGCCGGCTGATAATTGGTGAGGACGGGCACCAGTACCCGACGATGTACCGTGCTGAAGCTGCCACGTATCCCCGGTAAGTAACTTCCCGTCGCCAGGATTTGGTGACGGGATAATGTGAAGTAGGGACGAGCCATGGCTGCACCTACGATGGTCTGTTATCATTATTCATAACCTATGCAAATAAAGCGCTCGGTTCTTAGCTCCAAGGTGTGCCACAGTAATAATATAATGCATTATTGCAGCCACTTACAATAGTGATATATATTCTTAGAGGCATAATTTCCTATTTAGTTTGGACAGCTTTTGTCGGTCGCGAACTTGGAGGAAAATACTGACTTTTTCTGAGAGCAACCCGTTTTGGCCGTAATTTGGGGAACCTTTAGCCATTTGACCATCTTCCCTTTTCAACCACCGTACATACCTTGTCAAAGTACACTCGCATCTCTTTGTCATGCTAGTTCGTGCTATATGGTGCGCTGAGGCGTGAACGATGGAAAGGCGTGGTAAGTTTAGACTTCCAGGCAAATGACATCCAACCTGTCTTTGATTTCCGCTATTATTCTTTTTTCGTCAGACAAGTCGTTTGCCTAAAGGCCGATTTTTGCCCCATTTGTCACACAGGCGCAGCGAGGGTTCGGAGAGCGTATGGTGGCACGCTACAGGCCTGTTCTCAGAATGGCAGTGACGCAGAGCCGAAGAGGAAATGAAGAATATCTATTACTTTGGAAATGAACAGCTGACCGCGTGCCGAGCTTTCCGTGCACTTGTAGTTTGTCGCAGTCCGCTAGATGGCGCTAATGATAACCAGACGGCAAAACCCCAGCCGTGGTTGGGGCGGTGGTGTCGCCGCACGCCCCCCCCCCCCCCCCCCGGCAATCTATGCCGCATCCAGCCACTCTCATATTGGACAATGCCTTCCGACATCAGCCTGCCTACCTCGTACAGCAATGGCCGGCGGCAGACGGCGGGCCGCGCGCCGAGTGGTGGTAGTGGCGTCGGTCGGCGGTACATGCGCGGCGGAGGATCGCGGGAGCGCCGCTACCGGTCAACAGAGGCTAAGATTCGCACCCAGACGGTCACCCCAGAAACTGAATTGGGCATTCTGTACTTCGGATATTCCGCACATTGGACATTGTACCTTGTACTGCGTACTTCGGACGTCATATACCTTGGGCATTGAGTGCTTTGGGCGTTCCGCACCTTGGACATTACGTACTTTGGACATTGTATACTTTGGACGTTATGAATCTTGGAATTTCTGTACATTGGACATTCTGCACTTCGGGTATTGGGTACTTTGCGCGTTGTATACATTGGGCACCGTGAACACCTCCACTGAGCCATTTTGCAAGTTTTTTTTTCTCATCTTGGACATTCTGTACCTTGGGCATCATGAACCTTGGACATTCGGAGCATGGGACATTCTGTACTTTGGGCTTTCTGTACGTTTGGAAATCCTGTACCTTGGAAAATATGACCACCTCCCGTATTTGTATTTTCAAAGTCAATAGTGACAATGCGTGACGCATCAGCGTCAAACGGCGCGTAGCCTGTCGTAGCCACGGTTGTTTCGTTCCATTATTATTGTTTTCACGCGTTGTGTCGTGACCGATTTTGACCTTGGTTACGGGTGTTTGATATTTTTGAGCATGTTAACAATTGCAGTTGGTCCTTCGTCTATTTCGCGATGGGCGGTCCGCTCCTCCGTGACCTATTCGGATGCTGAAACAATACCGGCTTATCTATGGCTGCCAGCCTTTGCACTCATCAGACGGGTTAGCCAGTACACGCAAACGCGTTAACCACTACATTGTCGGCAGCCTGTCTGAGTGGACAGCGCATCAAGCGCTTGACGAGGACCTCAACTGCTTCAGGTTGCCCGGCTCGGGTGGCTTCCCTGATGCGATCAACTACCACCTCTAACCAGCCGTTGTGGTTGTCACAAGATGAACACCATAAGAATACAATGCTGAACACCCCTGCTATTGTCTCCCACCCCTGCCCACACGAACCACGAACAGCAAAGGAGCCCAAACAGTATTTGATAACACGTGTTCTCTTAGGAGTTTAACATCCCACGGCACAGCAATAATGAAAACCCAATGTTGACTTATGCTATGAGCGGCCTTGAAGTAGAGAGAGCTATAGCTTTTCTGATACAGCCTACCGGTCCAAATTTTGTGTTAATCGTTATCAAGAGGTTAATATGTACCAGCAGACAGATTTTGGAAATATTCGAAGGAGTCCGCACATTTAATTATGATCTTTCTTATCATTATATTTCCGGTAATAGGGCGTATCGGTCCGAGACTTTGTGCTCATTATGCTCAGGAGACTAAATATGAAACTGTCTGTCAAGTTTTAGGCCATTCTGAGGAGTCCGCTGAATATTGAATATGAGCCTGGATCTGAATGTGAATGTGGAGCCAACTTGACGAACTTAAGCAGACAACTCCCTTTTCACAACTTACTGCATGTTCGTCACGTTGGCATCACATTCACATTCAAATTCAGGTTCATATTAGAGATTCAACACTCCTCATACTGGCCTGAAACTTTGTATGCAGATGAAGTTCAATCTCATGAGCGTAATGACCTCAAAATCTCGGACTGGTACGCCCTGCTACCGGATTAATATCAAAGATCACAATGAAACTGCGGACTCTTTCAATTCTTTCTGAACTCCGTATTCTGGTAGATATTGACCAACTAATTACAACAAAGACAACATCTTGGACCGGTATGCTGTACCAAAAAAGTTATAGATGTTCTAATGTCCGTTGGCAAATCCACGAGGTATGGCAAGATATCATCCTTAACTCAGCTCCATAGCCGATATGCAGCAGAATGCTCAGATTGGCCTCAAGTTTTGTATACAGATGAAATTTAACGGTCTGAGCACAATGATCACAAAATCTTGGACCGTTACGTCTTATACCGGAGGCATATCAATATCAAAGATCACGTTAGAAAGGCGCATTCCTTTAATTCTTTCGAAACTCCGTGTGCTGGCACATATTGACCTGATTGCAAATAGCATGCAATTTTGGACCGGTACGCTGTATCATAAAAATTGTTGCTTTTCAAATGCCAAGGCCGTTAAGGCATTGCATATACTTGGCATGAAACACATTTTCTTCATCCGTGACCCTTTTTCATCCTCGATATTCAGTGTACTCTGAAGATTTGACTGCACATTTATTGATAGATGTAGCGTAATTGTGTGAGTGTAATAAGCATACAATCTTGGACCGGTGCGGCCTTTTACCGCAGACAGATGGATCGCTGCGAAACATTCGCCATTGGATGCGTCATGCCTGATAAGTTTTTGCAGTTTAAAATTTGTTAGGCAGAGGTCAAGTCAAAAGTCATCAAATTTCAAAATCCCTGAATTCTTGACTACAAACAGCTCATTTCTCTGAACTTATTGTTCCGTTCGTCTACAAACTTCGCCTTTTGATGGGACATACCCTGGCAGTTGCAACGCATGCTATCAATTCACACGCCATTGCTTTTTTGTAGTGCCCAAGCGCGCGGGCATTTTTCAGAAGAGTTCTGTCGCTCCTGCCTACCCGACACTCCGCCTGAGTACACCACGTTGGCTTAGGGACGCCTAGCGACGAACGACGGGACGTTTATTCACACTCAAAGAGAGAAAAACAGCATCGTACGTGTGGCAAGACGGCATCAACAGGTAATTAACGCAATGCACTGGAGCACAGGCCTCTTTTGGGCCGGGACGTCACGGTGGGTGCGCCTAATCCCGAACTGCAAGGACAGCCACAAGGATGGGTGCGATGGTGTATTTCGTGCAATATCGACCTGTTACATACGTCACATACTAAAATAAATATCTGCTCATGTATTTACAAAAAAGATCACGTAGAAAGTGATTACAGCAAAATCTGTCCTATGACAAACTGGAACAAATACAAACAAATGCATGCACGGCGAAATAGTCCTCAAAAACGAAAGGACACCGATGGGAATGCTTATCTTTAACACTAATTTTTGTAGCTAACAGTCACGCACATGGGTGTAACCACTGAGGGGGGGGGGGGGTGAAGATGGCATGCCCGTCTTTTGCAAAACGCATTTGATTTTGTTTCCAATTTTACCCCAAAGTGCAAGTTGTTCACGTTTTCCCGTTCAATGTCAGGGTATGGTGTTCCGTTCAGACCATAGTTAAACTCACCAATTCTAATATACCTCCCCCACCTCAGAGATACTGGTCACGCCCATGGTCATGCGCATCTCCGTAACAACGTACGTCGGAGGAAACTGGCCTAGTATTTCCCTCCAGACCCCGACGAACTGTAGCTGGTGTAGCTGCTACCGCTGCCGCCGCCAAAGCCGCCACCGTGGACGTCAGACGACCCTTGACTTCCGGAGTGGCCGGAAGATGGAGCTGAATACCCTCCGCCTCCCGAGCTGTAGCCGCTGCCTCCGAGGCTGAGCGTGTCTCCGCTCAAGTAGCTCTGACCGTATCCACCAGCGACGGACGAGCCCGAGCTGAACTCGCCGCCCCCGTACCCGCCGGATCCAGCGGAACCGCCGGATCCAGCGAATCCGGCGGAGCCTCCCGACGCGCCGAACCCGCCCAGTCCGATGTCTGAGCCGACGTCATAGCCGCCGCCGCCGCCGCCGACGGTCAGGTACCCGTCGTCCGAGTGCTCAGTCCCGGAGAGGTCGTAGCCGCCGGCGGCCTGCTCCAGACCGCCGCTGTAGCTGCCGCCCGGCTTGACCTCGGTCAGCAGCGATGTGTAGGAGATGGGGTAGGGCAGCCGTTCGGGCCGGCGGCCGTAGCCACCGCCCTTGCCCTTATGGCCATAGTGACCCTTCTTGTGGTGGGTCTGCGCAATCTGTGTGAGCAGAGGTTAGCACAAACGTGAGAACGCTTCCGGGGCCGCTGGAATACCGCGATGGCACAATAATCACGTGCCTTGACAAGCACGCTGTTTATCAACGTTGCAGCCTGTCATGACTACTTCGTTGGCATGGTTAGGTCCTAAAAATTATCTAGCTAATTTCACGAAGGTTGTATAGAACCCCGGTTGGACAAGCATTTACTGAATCAATTTATTCATGCCACATGCATACACATTGGGAAGTCCACGTACGGCAAACCAATAACACTGTTAACTTGGCGTTGGCATTCCTGCGTGTCTGGTACTGCTACTCCTGCTTACTCACACCCTTGACCCGGTAATGCCACTCGTGCATACTCTGGCACTCCTGGTCAACAGGTACGGACTTTCTTGCATATCCCATGACGGCACTCCATGTCGGCCGACACACTCGCTCTCCAAACACACATGGAAAATCGGCGCGGACAGCACAGGGGTAACAGCATTCCGCGAAAAGCACGGTCACTCCGTCCGCACTTCCCCCGGAATGGGCCTCCTGCTTTCCCCGAGCCGGCAACCCTGCGCATGAGAAAGTGGTGCCCCTGATACCAGCCGGCCAGCTGGTGACACCTAGCTCGCCTGGTACTGCCGCTCCTGCTTACCCGGTACTCGCACTCCCGTTTGTCGTCTACAAGCACCAGGTGCTCCTGGTCGAGGCCGAGGTACTCCAGCTCGCGGTACACGCGCACCAGAGTGTGCGAGTGCGGATAGGGCGAGCGCGTCAGGATGCGCAGGTACTCTGCGGACGGCAGCGCCCGGTCACGGCCGCGACGCCCGCCACACAGTACACGCACCATACACACACACAATACACCGCACATTCGATAGCCGGAGGCCGTTGCTGCTTGACCGATTTCACTCGCGCGACGTTCTGTGCTTTGATATGTTGGAATCTGGCATCGGTATGATGCCAATGGCTCCTCACTGATGTCGCCGTTTTGCGCGATCATATAATCGGCACCACTGGCGTTGACCGTCACACAAGGCTTTCCCAATACAGACACCTGAGCAGACAGTACAGGCTAGTGTTGGACTTCTCTGAGATCCTCTCGCAAGCGTTTCACTGTTCACATACAAGTGTACGCGTCAGTAGCAACAAGATGTATGATTGAAGGCAGTTACATTTATCACTTTTAGTAATGAGGTAGTGAGGTGGTGAGTAGTGAGGTAGTGAGGTTTTGGTTTGGTTTAGTATAGTGAGATAGTGAGGTTTTAGCTTGGTTTAGCATCGTGAGGTGGTGAGGTTTTAGTATAGCATCAGGTGCCGTAGTACTTACGCATGTTGAAGAACTTCTTGTCACTACATGACCAGATGATTGCATATGTCCAGTAGTCTGTGTCTAGTACAAAGAAAGTTTCGTCGTCCCCCTTATCTGATTTCTCTGCAAGCGAGCCAGCCGATTAGGCCCCATGAAGTCACACATTCAGACGTAAGGAAACACTACAATGAGCCAAATAGTGCGTAGGACGGATTACACATATTGGGCACGCGGCCGCCCCAGCTGTCATACAGCAAAACGCGGTCATCCCAGCTGTCATACGGACGCGGCCACCCCGGCCGTCATATAGCAGAGTCCCAGTTCTACACCACACATGCACGGGACAACTGGCAGGCTACGTAAAGCATAACGGCGACTCGAAATTTCACATGCCCATCCTCACTCTTGATAAACACCAAACGTTATCTTTGTTCATCAAACTGAAATAGACGCTGCTGTATTCAAGGTCTAGCAGGCAGCCAGTCCGGCATTGCGACTTAAAAGCTGACTGTCTGCCGATGGGTACTTGCAATGCTTCTCCCGCCGATAGCTTTTACGCAGACACGTATATCACCTTCAATCCAACACGAATCGAGCGGCAACCCAGACAAGGGATGCGCGCGCCTCCCAGTCCAGGACGGTCAGTTGGCCACTCACCGTCGTTGTACGCGATGGTGTACTTGGTTTGGCCATATGAATGTTTATGTTCGCCGTAGCCTGTGGTCTTGGCGGCCTCCAAATGCGCAAGACCCCGTCGGTACTCGTATGATCTTGAAATGAGAGGGATATGTCAGGTTTTTCTGGGCATTCCAGACGAACTGTGCTGTCAAAATCTACGTCTCTTCATGCATATTCAGATACAAGTGACAACATTCCAAAGGCGTGAGAGGGAGAGGGTAGTCGCTTGCTGTAAGTTACGCTTGATATCATAGGAACACCACTCTGCGGACGCCCCCCCCCCTCGGCCCACCGACACGCGATGAAATGGCTGATTCCAACAGCAACCAGCGGCAGGGTGCAACTCACTGGCTCCTGGACGCCACGCCACGATCTCAGGTCTCTACCGAACGCAACCGGAATACGAAGCCCGACATAAGTAACTAAAAAACAGCCACTCGTAACCCGGACAGCGGATTCCGGAGGCAAGCGTTGCAGCTGCAGCCCAAATATCCGGAGTTTTACATTACTCCCATGGTGGTGCACGGAACGAATCGAAGTAACCTCGCGCTTTCCCCCTCTCTAGATTGACAGCGATTACCATTATTTGAAACTATAGTGGTCAAAAGCCCACGTAACGCCATTTTGCGCGGGCCGATGCGTCAGCCGTGTTTTTTTATAGCAGCACCCGCGACGTTACCGCAGCACCAAGACAGTCTTCGCCACTCACTTTTTCCTGGTCAGCTCCGTGAGTACATCCATTTTGCCGTAGCCGAGGTCGGTGAAGGTGTGTCGCATGCAGTGGCCCTTCTCCTTGATGGAGTACCATCGCTGAGTCTCGTACCAGGTGCCCTCGAACTGGAAAATCGCCAGAGAGCTGGAGGTGTGCCGCTAACAGCAGCCACGCCCTTACGCAAAGAACTTACATGTGCTGAGAACATGCTCTGCTTGATCCGCGTAAACTTCAGCCGCATTGGTTGGTAGAGCGAGGGACTTCTTCCGCGTTGTTTGTGTGCGCATGAGATCGAATCCCAGATCGAATGGCACTGCTTCTCCCAGCAAGTGCATGGAAAGTCAGCTGGCAACTGGCTGAACAGGTTCGTCTGCAGTATGTCACGGCTCATGATGTTCTTGATCACCATTGCACGGGACTGACAATCTCGCGCTCAGTGATCGTAGCAATGGTCGCTCGTTGAATTGAAATCCTCTGTTCTGGGTGGTGGGTTCTGATTTATGGATAAGCGTGCCAAACTTAGCTTGGCAATTATTCCAAACTTGTTGTGAACCATTTGCACAAAAATAATTTGCGACTGTGGCTGTTCAAGTCCCGAACGTAAGTCATGCGCTCAGCCACAGTTGAGTTGCGTTTCTCGAGCAGCTGAGCGTTGGCGGCCAGCGTCATGCAGGGCCCCACTCACCAGCCACGTCTTGAAGTCGACCACAGTGGGCGGGTCAGGGCATTGCCCCTTGAAGAACACCTGGCCGGCGGCGCGGTGCGCCAGCAGCAGCAGCAGCAGCGGAGGCAGCAGCGGCGTCATCGGTGCTCACGGGGGGCGCGCGCCGCCTGGTCTGCCGCCGCCGTCGGCCGGCGGCCCACCTCTTATCACCTCGGCCGGTGCGGTGACCCGGTCAGGGCGGCTTCCGGACCGGCCACCAGCGGGGCGGCGCGCCGCGCGCGCCGGACCAACACGCGCCACCGACGCAAGCGACCGTGTCCTTTAGACCGCGGGTCACTGCGCCGGCCACAGTCGATCATAGACGCTTTAAGGAGGGGGGGGGGGGGGGGGTATTATAAAAATCAGGATACTTTTGTGTTGTAAAGGATAGGAAAGGGCGTTGTACTTCCAAAGGTTGGGACTTGAGGAAGTGTGTTGACTTCGGATGAGGGCGTAGATAAGACCATGACCGTAATTTTTGGCCAGTATGTACGGATGTCGTCACAGTACGCAACAGTTGTCAATGTCGATGCATACAGCGACTGAATCTTGTACTTGCTGCGCATGCTGTGCGTCATGGATGCTTCAAAGCATTTCTCCAAATAAGCTGGTTGACAGTAACTTTGAAGGAACATTCGGTTTCGTATATTTGCGGTCAAAGCTGACGAAGTTTCATTGCTGACAGCCTCAAAAATGGCGAAATTATATGGATGTTGAAGTAGCTTTAACGTCGTTGTGAATCGTTTCCGATTGGTGCGAACTGGTCCGCATGACATAAGACATAATTAACATGCACTAGTATGACGCCCGTGAGCAAAGCAGCGCTCACCGCTTCGCAAGCGTGGGGGGGGGGGGGAGGGGGCTGCCGCAGGGGAGATACGGTCTTCTGCGTACCTAGATAACCCTCCTTTTGGCATAATATGGCTTCCTGAAGTTTTAAGGGGGAGGGTAAAAAGATAGGCTTCCTACCTTGGCCAGTGACAATTGCCGGCGCAATGGCGTGGCTGCCGTCATCCCGCCGCGCACCCGCCGTAGTGACAGCGGTGGATGACTGTCCGGTGGAATCAACCGTCGCCGTACGTGACATTCACCTTCACCCTAAGAGTGAGTCATGTCTCCGAATCCCCTGAGCTCTCGAGAGCTAAAAATGTTAGAGCCACGCAGAAACGGCATCGGAAATCTCTTGTCAAACTGCACCAGGAAGGTCTGCCTGAATAATGATGAACGCAACGTTTGACAGGTCAAACCAAGTCAAATTTGTCAAAGAAGCATTCATTGGACTCCTCCTCTTACCTCAAGAAATAAACATGGTACGCTAATGCCAAAGACGCATTGAAAAGCTTCTAGAAAATTTGACAAAATAGATACCAATGGTCATCGATACGTTTGATATGTGATATATCACGTCAGTTCGGACGGGTCAAGAACCGTCCGATGAACCTGCTGCATGAGCGTGCCGGCTATATCAAGCGATTAACAAGCCAAACAAACGGGGAGAACAGAACTCAAAAAAAAACTTTTCAACTCCATAATGTACGTGTCGGTTGGATTTCAATCTTATATGACCTCCAAACGGTCAAATCGGGTCAAACTGACATATTTTGCCCTGGCTCGACCTCGCATGACTTGTCGCTGAAAAAAACAACACCAGAACAACAGCAATGCACTTCCAAGTTATATCGATGAGAGCATTTTCTACGAGAGATAAGTGTCATTTATGGCTTGAGAGAAAATGTCACTAACATGACCTTGACAAAGAGATCATGCATTGTAAACCCTCGGAGAAAGCAGCCTCACGTTCGCAAATGTGTCAAAAAATCTCAATTCAGACCCAAAAACCTCAGGGCAGTGCTTACAACCGTTTAGGATCTATTCAGGATCATATCAAGGGCCTCTGAGCACCACCCCTTTCGAGCCCCCCCCCCCCCTAGCAATGGGGCGAAGGTTAAAGGCCTTGGGGTCGCTGACCTTCGGCAGACAGATTGCGGGGTAAAAAGTGAAAACGTGTGGCCCGGTGCCTCCATGCGAAGCCTGCGTTTGTAGGACTTATCTGTGCTCTCAAAACTTTGGAATACCGAACTGGAGTGCGTGCAAATGACATCCAGCTGCGACGACTGCAAAGTTGCAGTTCCACAGGTTGTCAGTCGTGGTCATGAGACAGTTCCAGGCCCTGTGCATAGTTATGGGACAGTCCCAGGTCCTGTACGTGATCATGGGATAGTTCCAGGTCTTGTGCGGGGCCATGGGACAGCCCCAGGTCACAGATGAGACACACCAGCGCGGTTCCTGTGGCACCAATCCCCACCGTCGCCGATGAGACACACCAGCGCGGTTCCTGTGGCGCCAAACCCCACCGTCGCCGATGAGACACACCAGCGTGGTTCCTGTGGCGCCAAACCCCACGCCTGCCATACTTTGGTCGGAGCTCCGTCAACCTCCCTCTATCATCGCTACCATTTGGGTCGATTGGACGGGTCCTTTTACACAATGGCTGGATCCGTGCTACAGAATCAGACCTGACGCCAAACGACAGATGCAAGACTTTTCGGTAGCCTGGCACCGACAGTCAATACTGAGCTTATAAAGGTGAGCTGGAGGGACCGTCGGACTAACATGCTGAGACTACTAGCGCCAGGAGATGCGCATCCGTACTAAACGCACTGACGGTCAGTACTGAGCTTATAAAGGTGAGCTGGAGGGACCATCGGACTAACATGCTGAGACTACTAGCGCCAGGAGATGCGCATCCGTACTAAACACACTGACGGTCAGTACTGAGCTTATAAACGTGAGCTGGAGGGACCATCGGACTAACATGCTGAGACTACTAGCGCCAGGAGATGCGCATCCGTACTAAACACACTGACGGTCAGTACTGAGCTTATAAACGTGAGCTGGAGGGACCATCGGACTAACATGCTGAGACTACTAGCGCCAGGAGATGCGCATCCGTACTGAGCACACTGACGGTCAGTACTGAGCTTATAAAGGTGAGCTGGAGGGACCATCGGACTAACATGCTGAGACTACTAGCGCCAGGAGATGCGCATCCGTACTGAGCACACTGACGGTCAGTACCAGCGCTGGCATCAGCCTTGTTGGCTATACGTCAGCAGGTACACATGCATCTAGTCTGGTGTTGGTACGGTACCGGAGTCGAGAAAACACAAATGAGAAAATACTGCAATCTGTACCAAGTCGAATGTATTCAGGCTTGTTCTCGCCAAACGTGTTTCGAGAGCATGCGCCAAGAAGCGTCTCAAAACAGGACATAGCCAAGGAAAAGAGCAACGCATGCAAGCATGAGCAATCCATCGGAAACCTCCTTGCCACCTCTGCTCGAAAACGGCTGCTACTAAAGCATTTGAGCCGCTTCCTGACCCGTTAAGTCCATCTAGTCCCGGTCCGCCCTGTCAGTCTACCGACACACTACCACTTTTTCATCGAGAAAGCGGCCGCGTACCATTCCTGTACAACGGACACCCGTGCCCGACACCGACGAGGCCTGATGAGCGGGCCAACCACCGACCAGTTCTTTGGCGCCCAGCAGTTGTTTCCGTGTAGGCGGTGAGCTCTGTTGAACTAGATTAGTGTCATTAGGTCAAGTAAATTAGCGCGTTTGTGAGGCATTTTCCAGGCTATGTGATGGTGTTGCATACTGTAACATGCATTCATTAAGTGGTCGGGATTTAAACGGAAACCTTGTCATGGATATGAGTCAACGGAGATATCATAAACCACAAGGTTTCGTTCTAGTGGAAGGCAGGGGGTCGCGTTCTCCTAATTTCCAGAAAGGCAGGGTTTTCGGTCGAAACGGAACGCCAGGGTGAGCGGCTTTACTCAAGAAAGCCTTACCGCAAATCAAGGAAAACCTGCAAGTTCGAATTTCGTTCGAAAATAATTTGCCGAAACACATTATTTTGCGCAAGAAGTAGCTTTTTTGAACCAGACACGTAGAAAGTGGAGAGCAGGAAGCGGAAGCATGTGGAAGGCAGCTGGTATTTATTCATGTTTTGCTTGTCCTTAAAGTTGTTAAACATAATATCTGGCGCTCAGTAAAACAAAAATGTTCTGTGACCATATAAAAGGCGTTCGTTATGATAACGAGCATTGATTAGCAAGGCAATAACATCGCCTCTGCTTAATCTATGAAAACACAGTAATATAAGGCTGCGAATCGAGAGTGTTTCCCATTTTGTACTGGGAACACGCTCCTATTCATGATTTAGTTGCCGTGAATTTGGCGTAAATCGTGAGACCGCGATGCCTTTCAGCGTGCGAGATGACGTCAACGCGGCAATTCGTGGTGTGTTGCGCGCTTTAAACAAACTTATTTTCTCACCTCTGGCCTGATCAATGCAAATTAAAGCGTACTCTTTCCACATATCCGTTCTTCTCAGTGAAGTGCTCGTATAGTCTTACAAAATACCAAACCATCTTTCCTCTTCATCTTCACAGCGCCCGAACTTGCCCACTTCATCACGTCCCGCTGAATGAAGCCGTGACACCAGTCCTGGACTCTCCTGGTCGTGCCCAGCGTCGCTATGACACCAGTCCGGACACTCCTGGTCGTGCCCAGCGTCGCTATGACACCAGTCCGGACTCTCCTGCTCCTGCCCAGCGTCGCTATGACACCAGTCCGGACTCTCCTGGTCCTGCCCAGCGTCGCCGTGACACCAATCAGGACACTCCTGGTCCTGCTCAGCGTCGCCGTGACACCAGTCCGGACACTCCTGGTCCTGCCCAGCGTCGCCGTGACACCAGTCCGGACTCTCCTGGTCCTGCCCAGCGTCGCCGTGACACCAGTCCGGACTCTCCTGGTCCTGCTCAGCGTCGCCGTGACACCAGTCCGGACACTCCTGGTCCTGCCCAGCGTCGCCGTTACACCAGTCCGGACTCTCCTGGTCCTGCCCAGCGTCGCCGTGACGTCTGTCCGGACACTCCTGGTCCTGCTCAGCGTCGCCGTGACACCAGTCCGGACTCCCCTGGTCCTGCCCAGCGTCGCCGTGACACCAGTCTGGACACTCCTGGTCCTGCCCAGCGTCGCCGTGACACCAGTCTAGACACTCCTGGTCCTACCCAGTGTCGCCGTGACACCAGTC